CTATGGTGATAGGGGCCCCTGAAGGTAGGCACCCCAGGGATGTGGTGGTAGGGGCCCCTGAAGGTAGGCACCCCAGGGCTGTGGTGGTAGGGGCCTCTGAAGGTAATTATCCCAGCATCACGCTCATGGGGCCCCCTAGTACCTCTTGGGCATCACTGCTGAGTTTCTGCTTTATAGAGACTTCCTGCCGGCCAGCGCTGCTCCATAGTGACCACAGCGTAGTTAAGCCTTCATCAGAGCCTGTAACCTCACCAAACCTAACCTGCTCATGTGGACCATGGAGCACAGAGCAGGCCACTGAGGTCGCGTGTGACTGGCATCCCTGAGCCGTCTTCGGCCCCAGCTCTGCAGCCCTCTGATTTGGGGGGGGGGAGGGGGGGGCTTGTACTGTTCCTATAGAGCAGTGTTTCCCAACCCGGTCCTCAAAACCCCCAGTAAGTCCATATTTTTGCTCACCTGTACGCAGTATTCTGTGTTCAGATTGTTTGGTACAGGTGTCAAGTTTTCCTCAAGGACTGGGTACAGAAACACTGCCGTATGCAGAGCCATGACTTTGAGTGTGAGTATCACGATATGCAGAAGACCACAAAAACAGTGAGCATTCCTGTCTGCCAGCAAGGCAGGAAAGCATGTTGAGATAGGCTCCTGCTTTATTGCTTTTCTTCAAATTCAGTTTGAATCGACGTCTGAGCTCCGGTCTTTTTTTGGGTGCAGCAAAGATTGTGTGAATTAAAGTCTCTCCTGCTGCAGGTGGGGGCTTCAGTGGAGGTGAAAACCCAAGATGGGGTGTATCAGGAAGCCACCATCACCAAGCTGACGGATGCCAGCCTCTACACCGTAGGTGAGCTTCCATCAGCTTCGTTCTGCCGATACCCATCATCTACCACAGCTTGGTCCTGTTAAATCACACCGTAGGAAAGAATCTTGTGTTTTTCAAAGGCACTGATTGGTCAGCATCATCTGCTGGCACGAGCAGTTTCGTGATTCGACATGTCAGTGATTTTTTTTGGGGAAGGCAGCATGCCCATGCGAGTGTGTTACATGTGTGCCAGTGTCCTGGAACCAAGAACCGATAGGTGTGATGTCACAGGATGTAGGGGCGGGCTCTAGGACCCAGGAGCCGACATGCCTCCCTCTCCAGGGTGGGTTTTTAAGGACCGGTTGCTGCCTCCTTGCTTCCTACAGGTCACCTAGGGGGGGTAGAGGGGGTGTTATGCTGGGGGAGGCTCTCTCAGCCTGGCACTTGGGGGCTTCCCTGTGGCTCGTTGCAGAGCACAGCACCCCCTGCAGCTCATGCCTCATCATGGCGCCCAGAGAGCCTGGCTAATTTATTACCGTGCATGAAACCACTGGGTAGTTTCACTGGGCATTTATTTTGGTGAGAGCTTTGTGTGTGAGCTGTGAATGAGCAGAGGACTGTGGGTAATGGCTGGACCCATGTGACTGTCTGTCTCTCATCCCCTGTGCTGCAGTGTTTGACGACGGCGATGAGAAGACCCTGAGGCGATCATCCCTGTGCCTAAAAGGAGCGAGGCACTTTGCGGAGAGCGAGGCGAGTCCCAGTGACCCCCCAGCCTGTCTTCTGGGGCCTTATGCTTCTACCTAAAAAAAAAAAAAAAGCTACTTTGCTGGCCTACTTCTTGTGTTTTTGTACACGCTGTAGTTATAATTATCCCGTGCTTTTATAAAATGAGTGTTTTCGCCATGCAGGGGTTTGTGTTTTTACATATTCAGCGGGAGTCTCTCTCCTCGCTCTGAGAGCCTGACGCCCTGCGTGAGCCTCACACTTCATCACGTACAGTAAACCTTAAGAGGGACCACCTCAGATTTGGGCTGTATTTTTCTACATTTACTGCATTTGAAATTAGACGTATATCATCTCAGTAAGTGAGAATGAGATGCTGTGTTTGTTTTCCGGCTTGTGGGTTGTTATTTGTAAACCCAAACAATTCTCACTACGTGCTCAACCACAGTCTTTTGCTTTCACCAAGGAATTGTGAGAAAATGACAATTAGAAAGGACCGAATGGAACAGATTGGTTTTGATTAGCTTAGCTTGTCAATAGACTAAAGATGATCATAATTACACGTGCGTAAGTGTTCATATTTTTATTCTTCCGATTATTTTATTATTCTGACTATTGCAGTTTTTTTTTGTTATTCTTGCTTAAGTTTGAAGTAAGTCGGAGGAGAAAGGTCACCCGGTGATGATGTAATGTGTTTGCTGTTATGGCTGTTATGGCCGTCCTGGTGGGCGTGGCCTGCACTGACAGTTCCTCTGCTTCTCTCCCTGCCCCAGACGCTGGACCAGCTCCCCCTCACCAACCCCGAGCACTTTGGCACGCCGGTCATCGGAAAGAAGGGCAGCCGTGGCAGGCGCTCCAATCAAGTGTGAGTTCCCGCTAGCCCCGCCCCCCTGAAGTCCCGCCCGCTCTGCCTAGCGCCACTCTAGAAAGAGGGCCTGTTTTGTCATTGGCTGAAAGGGCCGGCCTAAAATTGTCTGCCTTTTAATTGCCTACTTACTGGGGGAATAAGGGATCTGCTGTCAGCGGGGAAGGAAGCTTCTGGCCAGTCAGGTCCCAGCTGGCGAACATCCCCACACCACTCTGTTAAGCACAATGCAGTTTCGCTGTGGTATCCTGATGCACAGTGGTGACATTTATTCGTGAGCAGCTGGCCTGTGCCCTGTGCCAGCGCACTAAATACAGGGGGGGGGGGGGCAAGGCCTAGACCTGCCAAACCCTGAAATCTGCTTTTCTATGTCGCATCTCTAAATCCGCTCTGCAAACGCCGCTGCTTGTTCCAGCTTCTCTGTTCTCCCGCTTAATTTCCCGGTTCCTGTATGCCGAGGACCCCCAGATGCCAACATTCTGAGCAGGGGCATCTCTCCGGAATGTTCCTCTCGTTGATTGGGTCCGGTATTGATTCGTTGGGTTTTTACACATACATGTGTTGGGCTTAGAGATCCTATACCCATTAAAGGTTTTCTATCCTATAGCATAAACAGTAAGTTTTCTGTCCTCGTGTTTTTCCGGAGACACTGTCTCTCTGGGATCAAAGGGGTGCTCTTTGGCCGGCCTGTGGGGGCCGTCTCCGTTAATCTCCTCGACAGCCGCGCCAGATCGATTTTGCTTAAGACCTCTAAGTTGGCTAAACCCCTTCATTACTCTCGTACTGCTTGTCGGCTTTATGACGCCCATTCGTTCGCGGGCCACTGCACTCTACTGAGTCCGACGGCCGTCATCGCGTGGGTCTTTTGTCCTCGCTAGTGGTGTCGTTATTAAATTAGGCTGCTGTGAGTTGAATTCGAAGCAGTTTCCTGTGGTCAGGACAATAGCAGCCAGCTTAATGAAAGGGCACTTTTAGGTGGAAGTAAATGCTGTGCCAGTGGCTGGACTGAACCCCAGTGCCCTGTTTTGGTCTTTTATTCATCTCCGATTCTGATTTAAAGCTATGCTGGGCCGGGTTGGTGTTTTTCGACCAAATTGACCATCACATTGATGTTGAGCATTGCTGCATAACCGTGGTGAGCAACAGTCCAGGTTGCCCTCAGCAGGCAGGTCAGTGGGCTCACGATGTCCGTCGTGTGCATAGTAACGCATTTGTGAGGATACAATGCCAATGGACCTCAGGCAGAGCAACATGCCGGACGAAGGCGCCTGATGTTCCCCCCGGAGTGACAAACAGGAGAGCGACGCTCTGGATCTGTTCTTGCTGGGATGCCCTCTGATCCAGACGGAGGCAATCCCTGAGAGAGGTGGTCGGGAAAACTTGGAATGAAGAAGCGAGCTGGAGATCACAGATATGAAACTCGTTTTCAGTTGTCTTTACACAGTGAATATTAATTACTATGTTCATTATACTTTGTTGGCTTTATTGTCAGAAATATCAGATGCAAATCTAGCCGTTCTTCGGGATGCTTTTTGCTTCTGAACTCTACATTCGGTTACATCAGCCTATATGAACCTGAAAGCATTTGTCTTTTTACATTAATATTTCCAGCTTTTTGCCAGTTGAATTGTATTGCACCTCACATTCCACCCTGTGTTTTCCTGAATTGCTTCCAGTCTGAGTCCGTCTGGAGGTCCGTCGCCCTCCAAGCTGTTTTCCTGTAAGATGTTTGGACCTGCTCTGCAGAGACCTGAATAATATGGCTGCCTTTCAACCGCTTTGGCTTCTGGGTAATCATTAGCCCCTCACTTTCTTCAGCACGTTGAGCCATTTCCCCAGTGCTGGGCTGGAAACCAGCTGACAAAACCCTGCTGGAACTTTGGAAGGACTCTGGGGTCTTATAGGACAGGGAGTCTTGGAGGAGCGTAGCTCTTCCTAGGTATCCGGGGAAGCCAGTGGAAGAGTTACTCACCTCCAGAAAGTCTCTCTATGAAGATTTTGTTGGAAAACCCCTCCAGGAAGAGACCAAGGGGGCAGCCTGGGGCATTTCCCAGCGTCCATGTAGGTACCACAAAATTGTTATTTTCTGAAAAAAATAGGAGTCTGGTCTGCCCTTCTTGATTTATTCTCCTTCTGTAAACTTCAGCTGGTTAAGATTTGGGAAATTCCTGGGATGTTGGGTGGAATTTCTGCTTGGACACTTGGAGAACCATAACCCAGGTCATGTGACGTAAAGATTGTTTGAACAGCGAGAGTGGAGATGTGACTGACTGGCAGCTGGGAAGGTCACACTGCTCCTCAAGGTTTGCAGGTTTTGACCACTCTGGCATGTAACACATTGTATATTTAACTTTCATTGCTGTCAGGTTCCAGGATAATATGCTGAATATTTGAAAGTATTCAGTGTAGATAGTGTTCAGCACCGTGTTACGCAGAAGGTGGTCTGCAGAGTCTTTAGGATGGAAGGAGCGTTCAGCACCGTGTTACGCAGTAGCGGTCTGCAGAATCTGCAGTTTGGAAGGAGCGTTCAGCACCGTGTTACGCAGTAGCGGTCTGCAGAATCTGCAGTTTGGAAGGAGCGTTCAGCACCGTGTTACGTAGTAGCGGTCTGCAGAATCTGCAGTTT